TAATCAATATAAAAAAGTTTTTCTGGTTTTTCTTTTTTTTTTGTTTGTTTTCAGTGCATCTTCTTCCTCTTAAAATGCTTAACCCTTTCCTTTCTGCATCTCTCAGGCCCATCATTACGCACACCGAAATGGCAAAAAAAAAGGTCTACAAACCCCTTTCCAAAAAACTGTAAAAAAATATTCACAGCCTCAAACAGTTTTGTACATTTCAAGCAACAAAAGGTATAGAAAAAGGCACAAGTAACTGCATACATGTGGAGATAATACCAGACTGGGACAAAGAAAACCAGGAATCTTCCATGGGTTTGGTCATTCACTAGAGTGCTTCTTATAGCGATGATTATACTAAAGGAAATAGTGTTGAAAATGTCTGTTGATTTTACATAGGAAGCCTAAAGGTGGAACAGATGGTGGAGGCTTAAGTACTTCCCGTGTTTTCATCCACCTTGGTTTGAGTTTGACCTACATCTGCATGCTCTGGGTGTGGACTGCTCTTCCTGGAGGTTCCCCCTTGGTGACTGGGCTCTCCGGAGAGGTTTCTCCTCCGGCTGGAGAAGGGCTGGGCGTGCGGATGGCTCGATGAGGGCTCTGAGAGGCAGCCGGTGCTGCTGCTTCGGTCCAACGGCTGGGAGGGGACATCTGAGATGAAAGTGCAGGATGATTCAAAAGAAGTGCTCGAGCTGCCACATTGCTTCTTGCCCGGTTTTGTCAAGGGTTCTTCCCCGCTTGTCGAAGGCTTTGGAGAGTGCTCGTGGGTTGTGCTAGGGCTGGCTGGGGATGCCGAGCCGCCTGCCTGCTCTGCGTGGCTAGACTCAGCGAACATTTTTACCCTGTATTCCTCCTGGTCTGTCTTTAGCTGAAGCTCACTAGTCCTCATTTTCTCTTCTAAGTAACCACTGCTCGTAAGCTCTGGGGACAGTGTGTATTTAGAAACCTTTGCAACCGGAGAGACGGATGCTGATGATGGCTCCTGTGAGACCTGCGGTTCCTCGTCCCTTTTAGGAGCCTGGCTGAAATCTGCAAAGCTGCTGCCACCAGAGGCAAAGTATCCCGCTTGCAGGGACACGACTGAACTGGGCACCAAGCTGGGATGGGTGCTTGGCCTCGCCTGGACCATCTGGATGCCCCCAATGGGAATCATAGGATATGGGGTCCTTGTGAGCTGCTGCGAATGCAACGGGAGATGGCTGAAGACATTCTCCTCCCCTCGGCTGGGAGTGTGGACGTGTATTTCATGAGGTGCCTGCAAAGGTCTGGAGCAGACAGGCTGCGTGATGCCAGGTGAGCATGTTGGGCTTCTTGTTTCTATCTTCTGCACCAGAGAGGGAAAAGAAACAGCTGAATCAGTGCAACGTATAAGTTACAGCATTAGCATCATTAATGTTCACTATAAAGATTGGGTTTTTTAGTATTTTACTCTATTTGAGGAAGATTAATACACTGAAGAAGGTTCGGAACCCCAAACCTTTAAGGTAAGGAGCAACACAACCCACAGCATTTGCCTTCTGGGTACAAATATGCCCATGGTCTGTTGGGGCACAGATCGAGGGCTTTGGTTCAGGCTTGGGTCATTATAAAATCTTAGAATGGTTTGGAAGGGACCTTTAAAGGTCACCTAGTCCAACCCCCCTGCCACGAGCAAGGACATCCTCAACTAGACCAGGTTGCTCAGAGCCCCGTCCAACCCGACCTTAAACGTTTCCATGGGATGGGGCATCTACCACCTCTCCTGGCAACCTCTGCCAGTGTTTCACCACCCTCAGAATAAAAAAAGACCTCATATCTAGTCTGAATCTACCCTCTTTCAGTTTAAAACCATCACCCCTTGCGCTATTATCAGAGTTGCCTCTGAAAGCCTGGCAGAGGATGCCAGTGTTTCCTGCCATCCAAGCTGCTTTGGATCACTTTCAGTGCTCTGAGAGCTCAGAATGATGTTATTTATTGTATTAGGATTACATCCTTACAGCTGCTAACAGAAGGATGTTCTGGACAGAGGGAGAGAGAGCATCAACTCTCGTTTGACACAAAGCACACCCATCAGTGTGGTCCCCACCACCACCCTCATGGTGAGGCCTTTAGAAATCAAGTGTTAAGACCCTACCATTTTACCTTTTCCTCTTTCTCTCTCGGTGCTTCACATAGTTTCCTAATGTACATCATGGAGAGATATGTGGCTAAACAGAAATGGATTAATTAGTGACGAGGTTATAACTAAACCCCTAAACAGGACTCCCAAGAAGAGGAAGCAACAGAAGTTGAAATCAACTTTCCATGAAGATGGGGTTAGCTTTAAAAGTTGAAGATTCACTGGAGGGTATTTGACTTTGTAGGTTTACAGGGAATTGATTGACCCTGTGAGCTGGATCTCTATGAAGAGGCAACAGAGGAAAGCAGCAAAAGAGAACAGAAGGGAGAGAAAGCAAGAGCCACTGAAGATAGTGTGCACTTGGTCAGCAGTTACAAGCCCAAACACTAACTAAATCTCACTTATCTGTATGAAGTGTTGGTAGAATCACTATGGGATGCTGGGAAACCCCCAAACAAATCATCTCAGTGGTGCAACAGCCAGCAGCCCAGAGACTACCTACTGCAAGAGGCAGTGGGAAGAAGGATGGTCATGGTCAGGCCTGATGCAGAGCTGGCAGAAAGCTTTATGCTGAAGCTAAGCTGAGATCGTCTCATGGTTTTGGATCTGATAAATCCACCTCTGATCTTTCTTGTAGCCTCACCAGGGACACAGTTCTGCAGGGAAAGCCCAGCTGTCCATCTTGCTGATAAATGGAATGTTCCTGCTCATGTCTATCATTGCTTGGAAGGCACATGAGAAAAGCAACATGTGAATGACTGCGTGAATAAAAGGAACAGGAAAATGGAGCAAAAAGGTGTGAGAGTATAAGTTAAAAGGTGTGACTGGGCAGATAAGCAGGGGGATACCACACTGTCTTCTACTGTTGACTAGGGAGCTGAGGGGATTTGCTACAAATAGTGGCAGTGCACAGTTTTCCTGCTAGAGATGCTTTAGAGTTGAAGGATCGGGGTTTCCACAGCCCAGAGATTTACCATAAGAGAAGTTAATAGACAGGAAAGGAAAACAGCATTAAAGTGAGCAAGAGTTTGAACTTCAACCAAGGGATTTGCTCTGAGAAGGTAAGACAAATAGAGTGGAAAGCAGAAGGAAGGCAGCACCAGAAGAAGGTACGTTATCATAGACTTGGAAGAAATGCACACAGGGCAGTGCGGCTTTCTGGAGAAGACCTGGGTCAGCATCTGCCGTGACAGGTTCTCCAGGGGTTGTATAAAGGCCTCTCTCTCCCCAGCGCAGCCCCTGAGGGCTTGAGTCTCTCCTCACACCAGTTTCACAGCAGAGCAACTCCAGCAACTGAATCTCGTGTTCACCAGCATAAATTACAGGAGATCCAGGCGCTTCTGTAGAAACGAGAGACGTTCCACCAAACCCAACATCTAATTTGCCTGGAGCACTGGGAGGAACATGCAATTTTCCTTTACCCGCAGGATCTGATATGTGCAGCAGAGAGATTAAATCATTTTCTGGACCCTGTGGGATCCACCTCTCTGTGCTGAAGAGAGAAGCAAGATGAAATCAGAGATGGCCAAACAAGCATTTCCCAGCAGTTCAACTAACACAGTTGGCTGCTTATGTACATAGCCCAGGAGCCAGGAGGAGAGAGCGGTGGCCAGTGCAGAGCTTGTTCAGTGGTTTCACTGACCAGAGAAAAATGGCCACAGCTTTACCCCAGATGGTGAAATCTCAGAAATGGGTATGAAATCTGAGGGGAAAAAAAGCCTTTTAGTGACAACCTGTCATTATTAAGGTCATCCTTACTGCTTGGCTCAGCAGGAGACCGGTTGGGTCAGGAGGGTGAATAATCCCTTGGAGAAGGGGCAATTTTACTTCTCTTCAGCAGAGATGGGCAGGACCAAATGGGTGCAAACCCCATCGCTGTCCATTGTCACTTTTCTCTGGGTTACCTGTGACATCAGCCACAGTCAGAGTCACCGTGCACTTACTTCTGCATTGCAACCTTCATTAAAAAGTACATCAGAGAACGTACTGCAGGGACTAGGAGGCAAAGAGGGGCTTGAACTTACCAGCTTGGACTCATAGAGCTGTATGTTTTTGCCAAAGAACCTGTGAGGTAGAGGCATCGAAGATAATATCCCATGCTGGGCTTGATATGAGCTTTGAACTTGGTCATCTGCTGTTGATTTGCTAGTACCAGGCAAGTCCTCTTTGCCGGGGGATGGATACCTAGTTGACTCAGAACAGCCTGGAGAAAGAACTTTCTTCAGCGATAAATATCTGACTGATGACATCTCTCTGCTCGGCGACGAGTGCCTCACAGGGGAGACTTCTCCTTCTGGTGGAAGGTATGTTCTTGGGGACAGCTCTCTCCTGGGGGAAAGATGCCTGCTGGGCGACAGCTCGAGTCTTGGTGACACGCATCGCAGTGGAGATGCCTCCCTCCTGGGAGAGACACGCTGGCAAGGAGACAAGCCTCTCCCCGGGGACAGGCACCTCAGAGAAGACAGTTCTGCAGTTGGTGAGAACCGTTTCGGTGAAGTTTCATTTTTGGTTAATAGGTGCTTTCTGCCTAGCATTGGTCTGCTGCTGCCACCACCTCTGCCAGAGTCCTGGCTCGGAGACCACCTCTTTCTTGGGGAGGTGTCTTTTGAGGTTGCCAGGTCCATAACCAAGGTCATCTGTGGCCTTGTGACAGACTCTCTTTCAGCAGAAGCCAATTGTTCGGTGGAGGTCAAAGCTGGTCTGTGGAGACTCAAGAAGCTGTGGCACACAGCAACGTCACTGCTGTCTGCTGACCACTTTGTTTCCAGCCCTGAGGAGGAGGCCTGCTGGCCTTTACCTGCTTTTTGGCTGCTGGAAACAGTTTCTTGGGCTAAGGACAATGCTGTTTCCGTGCCTTCCTCTTGAGAAGATGGAGAGCCACCTGAAGAGTGCATCAGGAGGGTGGTATGTTTGCCTTCCGGCAACTTTAAAGGTGGTTCATCTTGGCTCTCCTCTTCCTCCTCATCTTCCTCATCTTCATTGTCATCATCCTCGTCAGATTCCTCTAGGTCTGAAAACTGGTGTTCCTCAATTGGCTCAGATCCCTCCCGCCCCTCAGAGTCCTGGAATAGGTCTTCACTGGTTCCTGAAGCAATGGGCAAACACAAAACACAGAGTGTAAAAACACACATACAAGGACTATTTTTGTGCTAAATCTGCTCAAAAGTTCTAAGGGGACAAGAGGAGAGAGGACCTGGCTATTTCCTAGGTCTGATCATGTCAAGCTTTGAAGCCTGCCATCTTGTCCCCTGTGCCAATTCCTCTCCTTATGACCCCAGCAGATCCCAGTGAATCCCATCATTGGGACCTCCCACTCTACCCTGATTTTGGTTCCAGCCATTGCTCTGTCAACACACAGAGCCATCAGTCCCTGCTTCTGCTGTATATGCACCTTCACACACACTGTCTGCCTCCCTCTAGAACTGCTCTTAAAAAAGGCCCTTAATAGATGAGGACAACAGCAGCACTATCATCCGTTGGTGGGCTTCTTCTGACTATACAGAAGAATACCTACAGCTGCCAAAGTGCAGGAAAGTTGCTGGGATAACCTCTCCCATCCTCCACATGCTGGGCCTTTTCCTGCCTAGATTACATGGAAGTTAAACATTAGCAAGACAATTCCTTGAAGAGCAAACAACAGCATTGAAAGAACCTCTGTGGATTTTCCCATCTTTCGATAAATTCCAACGATGATGCCGATGTTGCTTTGTGACAGAGGGGTTTGGAGTCTGGCTGTGAAAGGCCCTGCACTGGGATGCTTTGTTAATAAGAGCTTTTAAACGGTGAGGAGTATACAAAAAACAAAGTCTAAACGACTTGAAGGGTGCAGGGAAAAATAGAGCATCTCCCTTCTACGTGAAGGGCCAGCAGAAGCTTTGAGATCGGTATCAAGCTCCCAAGCAGGTTGCTGCAGCATCACCCACTGCTCTGCTCTGCCTGATGAAAACCTGCGTTTCCCCAGGCCAGATGTGCACAGACCCTGCCAGAAGTGCAAGCTCAGCCTGGAGAGGTCCATCGGGAACAGCCACTGGATGTCACTGTAGCTCAACAAAATCGCCGTGTCAGGAGGTTTCCCGCAAGCCCCCCCGGCTCATGAAATACCCGTTTCTCAAACTGTTTGTGCCATACACTGAGATGACGGGTGCAAAGCTGCTGGCACACACTTTATCCCAGCTTTGGAAGGAAGGATAGTGCCTGGATCCTGCTCTGACACCTGCATGAAGCCGCGTAACTAATTGCAGCGCTGCTGGCCTCTTTTCCCCGTCAGTTCAGCCTAGGACACTGTTTCTCCTCTGATGAACACTGGAATGGTTTTCCATTTAGAGCTGTCATCTGTCAGCAGGACGAGCCAGAGGGGAAATTAAACGGAGCTAATGCTGAGGCTGGACCACACCTGCCTGCAGCAGGCAGAGTGGTTTTCTGAAGGGGACGTGGCCACACAGCAAGAAGTCACTGCGATCTATGGATAAAAAGTCTCATTTTGCTTACTCCAAATAGCAGGGGCTTGGTAGTAAATGCTCATGAAAGTACTGGGCATTACCACTGAAATAAGACATCTATTTTACCATTATCCATCCAAGAGACAGCCTGAAATGCATCCCATTTGCTCCCCACACCGTTTCAAAAGTATCTGTAACTAGTCCATAAAGCGAGAAATACTTCAGAACTCCTACAGCATTGAGCCAAAGCCATCAGCTCTCCACCAAGAGGCTGACTTTGTGAAATGCTTGTGTGATGATGATGTTTGCTGGACCCAGGGTCCAGTGGTGGGTTGTTTGCAAACTCCCGAAGGAACTGGGTTCAGAACAAATATTATTCCAAACAACCAGCTCTCCCAGCTGTAGGGTGAACTGTACATACTTCTTGCTTGGCAAAGGAATGCATTTCCCTACCGGAACTATGAGCTTGCAGGCAGAAAGAGAGCTCAGATCTGAGCTCTGAAATGCATCTTCCTGAGCTAATCGGCTAAAAGAGGGCAAATCAGGAGAAGGCAAAGAGGGAGGGAGACATGGAGGAAGAAAGGAGAGAGGGAGCTAGTGAAAACGTGCCCTGTTGACGGCTTTGTTTGAGGGTTGCATTTCATAACACGTGTTATTCTAAAGGTTATTCTACCAAACCTACTTGTGCAATCACACCAAGCGCAAACAATGCAGGAGTGAAGAATGATACTCAAATCTCCTTTTATAGTAACACCCCTCACTTTCCCTTGCCCCTTAAATAGAAATAAAAACAATCAAGTGAAATATAACTCTAGTTTAAAATAATCCAGGGAGCTTTAGGAACTGCTGCTCCCTCCCAGCCAGCCCCCAAAGGAAAGCCCGGCAATCTCCCTGCACTTTTCCCTGCACTTTCTCCCTGCACATTTCCATGTGTCACAGAAGACACATGGAAATAGTCTTCTTTGTTTGTTATTATTATTTAATTAAAATAGTCCTTTCTAGGCTCTGTTTTGAGCCTCTTTTCAAAGAAGACAGAAGACACACTGTGGTTACACAGAGGAAGGCACAGAGGAAGGCTCTTTGCAAGCCACTGCTCTGAGAACAGAGGATGTGTGATGCAGCTGTGAACTCTGACTTCTCATGCACCTTTCTGCCATTTCTAGGTTATTTTCTCATTCATCCAAATAGCCCCAATCATTCCTGCACAAAATACCATCTTCTGGCCATCTTCTTGGCTGCTTTATTTAGTATTTACTTGGCATCTGTGAGTAATGGGCCTCCTTACTCCTGAGTCAGAATAGCTGAAATCTCAGTAGAAGTCCAGTGTTAGCTTTAACCAGTTGATAAAGAAGCTGGAAGGAAAGGAAACATCCTCCACTACCAGGCCTTCCCATTTCCACCTTTCTGCATTCCTTCCTGGCAGACTGTCCCCTTTACACAAACACAAATGGTCTTCATCAGTGGGAGGAAATGGGGACTGTATATTTTCTGTAACTGTAAAATTACACGGATTGCTTGCGTAATGCAATGAAGTCCAGACAGCACAACACATGGCAGCGAGCAGCTACAGTGGGAGAGGAGTCTCTAACGAAAGCTAATGGGTTCCTGTCCTCTGCAGTCCACATAGGGTCCTTCCTTGCTGCGCTTAGCAGGTGTCCAGCTACCATGTGTTCAGCCACAAGCAGTCAGGGACCAACGATTTGGTGGTGGCCATAACAACAGTCCCCCAGCTGATGGTCCCATCCTTTCCAGCTGAGCTGGGGATGCAGGGCAGAGCTTTCTTGGGCTTTCGCTTAGACCTACTCTTTCCATAAGGCCAAAGGCTGCGACCAGCTCAGCTTCATCACCTGCGGGACCTCTGTTTTCACAAGCAGAGTGCTCCCATCAACGGGCTTTCAACATCCTGCTGAGTGCACTACTATTAACCCTGTAGGAGCGCGGGGATGAATGACTGAAGGAAATGATGAATGAAAGCATTCCCCTGGACCAGCGCAGCGAGCCCTTGCAGTTCTGTCCTCAGAAACCTGCAGTTATGTGTAACATAAATAAGACTTGTGATTTGCAGGTATTCAAAAGCGAAACTCAATTAATAGGATTCATTAGCTCTAATTGGCTGTAATGGAAAGGTTTAAAATAACAGCTGTTCTTTCCAGAGTTGTGCAACTGACATTTTCAGGAGTCACTTTC